ATTTTGGATGTATAGTATCATGTCATCTCCAGTGGTGACAGTTTTACTTCTTTTCCAACATGGATTCCTTTTATTTCTTTTTCTTCTCTGATTGCTGTATCTAAGACTTGCAAAACTATGTTGAATAAAAGTGGCAAGAATGGACATCTTGTCTTGTTCCTGATTTTGGAGGAAATTCTTTTAGTTTTTCACTATTGAGAATGATGTTAGTTGTGGGTTTGTCATACATGGCCTTTGATTATGTTGAGGTAGGGTCCTTCTGTGCCCACTTTTTGGAGAGTTTTTATCATATATGGGTGTTGAATTTTGTCAGAAACTTTCTGCATCTATTGAGATGATCATACGGTTTTTATCTTTCAGTTTGTTAATATGGTTTATCACACTGATTGATTTGTGTGTTTGAAGAATCCTTATATCCCCAGGATAAATCCCTCTTGATCATGGTATATTATTCTTTTAATGTATTGTTGGATTTGATTTGCTAGTATTTTGTTGAAAATTTTTGTGTCTGTGCTCATCAGTGATATTGGAAGCCTGCAATTTCCTTTTTTTGTGTGTGTGGTGTCTTTGTCTGGTTTAGGTGTCAGGACGATAGTGGCTTCACAGAATGAGTTTGGGAGTGTTCCTTCCTCTGCAATTTTTGGAAAGTTTCAGAGGTGTTAACTCTTCTCTAAATGTTTGATAGAATTTGCCTGTGAAGCCTTCTGGTCCTGGACTTCTGTTTGTTGGGAGTTTTAAAATCAGTTTTAATTTTCAGTTCAGTCGCTCAGTCATGTTGACTCTTTGCGACCCCATGGACTGCAACATGCCAGGCTTCCCTGTCCCTCGCCAGCTCCCGAAGTTTGCTCAAACTCATGTCCATCGGGTCAGTGATGCCCTCCAACCTTCTCATCCTCAGTTATCCCCTTCTTCTCCTGCCTTCAGTCTTTTCCAGCATCAGGGTCTTTTCCAATGAGTCAGTTCTTCCCATCAGGTGGCCAAAGTATTAGAGTTTCAGCTTCAGCATCAGTCCTTCCAATGAATATTCACAACTAATTTCCTTTAGGATTGACTGGTTTGATCTACTTGCAGTCCAAGGAACTCTCAAGAGTCTTCTCCAACACCACAGTACAAAGGCATCAGTTCTTCGGTGCTCAGCTTTCTTTAGAGTCCAATTCTCACATCTATAAATGACTACTGGAAAAACCATGCTCTGACTAGAAGGACCTTTGTTGGCAAAGCAGCGTCTCTGCTTTTGGTTGTCTAGGTTGGTCATAGCTTTTTTTCCAAGGAGCAAGCGTCTTTTAATTCCATGGCTGCAATCACCATCTGCAGTGATTCTGGAGCCCAGGAAAATAAAGTCTGTCACTGTTTCCATTGTTTCCCCATCTGTTTGCCATGAAGTGATGGGACCGGATGCCATGATCTTAGTTTTTTCAATGTTGAGTTTTAAGCCAGGTTTTTCACTCTCCTCTTTGACTTTCATCAAGAGGTTCTTTAGTTCCTCTTCATTCTGCTGTAAGGGTGGTGTCATTTGCGTATCTGAGGTTATTGATATTTCTCCCGGCAATCTTGATCTTAGCTTGTGCTTCATCCAGCCTGGCATTTCACATGATGTACTCTGCATAGAAGTTAAATAAGCAGGGTGACAATATACAGCCTTGATGTACTCCTTTCCAAATTTGGAACCAGTCCGTTGTTCCAGGTCTGGTTCTAACTGTTGCTTCTTGACCTGCATAGAGATTTCTCAGGAGGCAGGTCAGGTGGTCTGGTATTCCCATCTCTTGAAGAATTTTCCACAGTTTGTTGTGATCCACACAATCAAAGGCTTTGGTGTAATCAATAAAACAGAAGTAGATGTTTTTCTATAACTCCCTTACTTTTCCTATGATCCAACAGATGTTGGCAATTTAATCTCTGGTTCCTCTGCCTTTTCTAAATCCAGTTTGAACATCTGGAAGTTCTGGTTTACGTACTGTTGGAGCCTGACTGGGAGAATTTTGAGCAGCGAAATTGTGCATTTTAAGAATCAGTGAACATTTCAGGAATGTTTTGGGTTTTAGTTCTAGAAGGTCTTATAGGTCTTCATAGAACCGTTCAACTTCAGCTTCTTTAGCATTACTGGAGGCAGTGATCAAGACCATGCCTGTTGTACCTTATAATTGGTCTGTTTGTATTTTCTATTTCTTCTTGGTTCAGTCTTGGAAGGTTGTATATTTCTAAGAATTTGTCCATTTCTTCTAGGCTGTCCATTTCATTGACATATAGTTGCTTGTAGTAGTCTCTTATGATCCTTTGTATTTCTGCAGTGTCCATTGTAACTTCCTTTTCATTTTTAATTTTATTGATGTGAACCACCTTTTTCCTTAATGAGTCTGGCTGAAGATTTGTCAGTTTTGTTTATTTTTCAGAGAAGCAACTTTTGGTTGGTTGTTCTTTTCTGTTTTCTTTGTCTCTATTTCATTTATTTCTGCTTCTCTGATCGTTTGATTTCTTTCCTTCTACTAATTTTGGGTTTTGTTTGTTCTTCTAGTTACTTAATATATTTTTAAAATTAGTAATGATCATGTATTTAATCCATTCATAGAAATTGCATTCATTTTATTTTTGTTTTTTTTTTTGGCTGTGCTAGGTCTTCGTTGCTTTGCATAGGCTTTCTCTAGTTGTGGCAAGCAGGGGCTACTTTTTGTTGTGGTGTGTGAGCCTCTTACTATTACAGCGACTTCCCTTGCTGCAGAGCACAGGCTCCAGGCACACAGACATCATTCGTTGTGGCCCAGAGGCTCAGTAGTTGGAACCGTGGCCCCCAGTGTGCGCAGACTTGCAGAGTTGTGCCATACAGCCTCAGCAGTTGTGGTTTGCGGGCTCTAGAGTGTTGACTCAGGGGCACACAGGCTTCGTTGCTCCACAGCCTGTGGAATCTCCCCAGACCAGGGATCCAGCCTGTGTCCCCTGTGGTGGCAAGCAGATTCCTATCCACTGCACCACTAGGGCAGTCCTGCATTAAGTAGTTGTTAATTTTGAGTTAAAAAAATTTTTTTTGGTCATTACATACTGGTAAAAATACATGGGCTGTGGAGCCAACTGGAGTGTGTCCAGATTTTGTTTAAAATGACATTGACCAAGTAATTCAACCTCTCTAAGCCTTTGTTTCCTCAGCTAAATTGTGGGGATATAAATATTGCCTAGCTCTTAGGAATGGGGTGAAAAATAGGAATGCATATAAAGTATACGACATAGCACATAGCAGATGGTCAGTAAATGAGAGCTGTTGTGTCTTTTCTAAAATGCAGTATATAAGTTCATGGTGTTTTTAGCTCCTTTTAATGTAGTAAGTTATATTCTTAATGAAAGAGTTTGAAATACTTAGGGAGTTAGAGAAAAATCCACTTTCTTAGCCTTTCTCGTTCCTGCTGGCACTTCCGGACTGTGTCTGCTGTCCTGTCTCCTGAGGAAGTCTCACCCAATGCCACAGCCTCAGCTGCCAAGTGAGTCTCACCATCTGCCTGCTTGCTGGGCACGTCCATGTGAGTGTATCACAGACTTAAAGCTCAGTACCTCCACACTCGTTGCATGATGTTCCCTTTCAAACTGTCATTTCTTCCAGTGGTGTTCACCATCTCAGTACACAGCTAGCGTTACATTCCCTCGGTCAAGCCAGGAATTTGAAAGTCACCCTCAATTCTTCCTTTGCCCTGGTCTGCTTTTGACTAGTTCTTTCCCAGGCCTCTTGATTCTAACTGTGAAATACTGTGAAATACTTTCCATCTTTCTCATCCCCGTCTGTTGTCAGCACCATCTCTTACCTGGTTAACCGTGTCAGCCCTCTTACTGGTTTCTTCACTTCTTCCGTTGCTTTTTTCCAGTATACAGTATAGCCAGTGACTGTGATGACACTCTTCTTCACTTTGTTTTTAAGATAAGCTCTAGAACCTTAACATGTTCTTCATCACCCTGTATAATTAAGCCCCTCAGTTTCTTCAGCTCTTACCGCATCCACTGTCCTTTTCCATCTCTGTCTTTTCTCTTCTGGTCTCCTTGCGTTTTTGTGGAATCTCCCTTCTCTTTTTTGCCTTTTGCTGTCCATCTAACTCAAGCTCATATATTATATGGACTCTTCTGGAAAGCCTTCTTTGATCTCTTCCCCTTTCCTTCTGCCTTAGTTTTCTTGCCTAGATTATGCTCCTGTCTCTCATGAAGAACTCTGTGTTTCTCATTCCCACCGCTCATCTTGCTTATAATTATTTGGGTAATATGTCCTCTCCAAGATGACACATACCATGACATTAAAGATTGTGTTTGTCATTGTGTCCCTGAGGCATAGCACCATGCCAGGCTCAGGTGTATAGTATTTGTTAAATGAATTAATTTGGATATTTAGAAAATTTAAGTTGTATCTGTAATTACTTGTAATATACTGTCACTTCTTTTTGTTAATTTCCCGATTCCTTATAGCTGTTACTTAAAACTTTTATTTTGAAATAACATACTTATTTTAGGATTAGCCTATTTGCTCGGTGTCATGTTGGTTGCTTGAAGTAAGTTGTTTCATGTGATTCTTGTTTCATGTGATCAATGCACAATAGCTATTCTTATCCTTATTTTACTATTGAGGAGATAATCTTTGGGTAGATAATTCCTAAGGTCAAATGTCTGAAAAGTGGCAAATGTGTGGATTCACATTGAGGTCTTTCTACTCTGGAACCTTTGTTCTTTTGCTATAACTCTACTACCTTCTTTAATGTCCGCATTAAGTGATTAACATAAACATAAGAAATTTCTTAGGATTAGCTAAAATGCTCGATTTTGCATTTATCTCATTGGCTGTAGAACTTTATCAGTATTCTGCTCGTGTGGTACACAATTCATGCTGTAATTGCTGATAATAAAGGAGAAATTTATATTAAACTGTAAATCCAGGCTAGAAATTGCATCACAGTGTCAAAAGAATTAATTTTAAGAGCTATTGTTCTGTAGCATCAGACTGTAGAATCAGACTTGATTCTCTTCATTGTTTTCAGGGACTATTTTTGCATATGGACAAACTGGAACTGGCAAAACGTTTACCATGGAAGGTGTTCGAGCTGTTCCTGAACTTAGAGGAATCATTCCAAATTCCTTTGCTCACATATTTGGTCATATTGCAAAAGCAGAGGGTGATACGAGGTAAAATAACTATTTTCTAATATTGAGAAGTACAAACATAAGAAAGATGTACAACCTTTATAAACACATTTTTAAAACTGTTCTAATAAATATTTCACTACCTTTTTTTTTAAAATTTAAGAATGATGTTTTCTTTACAGATTTTTGGTCCGAGTGTCTTATTTGGAAATATATAATGAAGAAGTTCGTGACCTTTTGGGCAAGGATCAGACACAGAGGTTAGAGGTAAGGATAGTTGAAATTGGAGTACTTTGCAAAGCAAGAGAATGTGTACTGAATTAAGTTCTTTTTTGAACAAAATGTACTCTTAATATTTTATTATTTTTGACCAGGAAACTTGATAACATATTTCAAAAATACAACTATTTTAAACACTTATGTACTGAAAAGTCTTGGTTCCTACCCTATTTCTCCCTACCCTAAGATAAGCACTTTCGGTATCCTTTCAGTTTTTTTTATGTAAATACAAATATAATTATATTTTTACTCCTATGTAGCACCCTATATACATTGATCCGCACCTTTTTTTAAATTAAATTTTTTTTTTCATTTATTAGTTGGAGGCTAATTACTTCACAATATTTCAGTGGGTTTTGTCATACAGTGACATGAATCAGCCATGGAGTTACATGTATTCCCCATCCCGATTAAATTAAATTTTTTATTGAGATAAATTCACATGCAGTTGTAAGAAATAATACAGAGAGATTACCCTTTACACAGTTCTCCCCAGAGATAACATTTTACAAAGCTATAATGCAATATCATAATGATACTGATCTTGATGTAATCCACAGATATAATCCATTTGAATCCATTGTTCAAATGCCCCAGTTTTTCTTGTAGTCATTTGTGTTGTATACTATTGTATCACATGTGTAAATTATTTTATCCACTATTGCAACAAGGTACTTAAACTGTTCCATCTCAAAGATGCCTAAGTTGCCTTTTTATAACCACACTCCACCTCTCTGGTGACCACTCTCCTCTGTCCCCATCCCTAACTTCTGACAACCCTAATCTGTTCTCCAGTTCTACGGTTTTGTCATTTCAAAAGTGTTATGTAAATGTAAATATACAACATGTAACTTTTTGGAATTGGCATTTGTGACTTTGCATAACTCCCTAGAGATTCATCCAACTTGCTGCGTGTATCACTTACTCATTCCTTTCTGTGTCTGAGTAATACTGCACGGTGTGTTCAACCATCCGCCTGCTGAAGGACAGCCGGTCACCTGCTCTGCATAATTTGAGGCTGTTATGAGTAAAGCTGCTATGAACATCCACGCATAGATTTTTATGCAAACATAAAGTTTTCATTCTCTGGTATGAATGCCCAAGAGTACTCCAGAATTTAAAGTCAGAAGTTTTTTAAAAATTTAATTAATTAATTAATTTTTGGCTGTGCTAGGTCTTCATTGCTGTGCATGGACTTTCTCTGATTGTGGCAAGTAGGGGCTACTCTCTAGCTGCTGTGTGTGGGGTTCTCATTGTGGTGGTTTCTCTTGTTGCAGAGAATGGGTTCTGGGGTTCATGGGCTTCAGTAGTTGCGGCACATGGGCTTAGTTGCTCTGTGGCATGTGGAGTCTTCCTGGACCAGGGATCAAACCCGTGTTCCCTGCATTGGCAGGCAGACTCTTTACCAAGTTTTTACAGTATCAGAAATGGAGGTGTTAATACTAATTATGAATGTTGTCACAAATATTTGTGTTTTTAATCTTTCTTTTACCTGAAGGAAAAACCAGACTTTCTGATTGAGAAACTCTTAGTTTTTATACTTTTGGGTAATATATTGGCACTACTTTAATCTTACATTTTAGAAAAGGGGAATGTGAGATTATATGTATAACTATCAGATAATCACAAAAATTGTGGATTGGTTCATTATAGCTGATTCACATTCAATATTTTTTCTTTTTTTTCCCTTAAACTTTATTTTGTGTTTGGGTATAGCCAATTAACAATGTTGTGGTAGCTTCAGGTGAACAATGAAGGGACTCAGACTCCATTCTCCCTCAAATCGTTATTTTTTTAATTGAGATGTAACTTACATAGCATAATATTCTTCCTTTTAAAGTGTACAATTTAGTGATTCTTTGTATATTCAGAAAGTTATGCAACCATCACTATTATCTAGTTCTAGGACATTTTCATTATTCCTGAAGGAAACTCCATGCCCATTAGGTGTCACTCTCCATTCCCCTTCTCCCTCCTGGTAACCAGTAATTTACTTTCTGTCTTTATGAATTTGCCTATTCTGGACATTTCATTTAAATGAAGTCATACAATTGTGGTCTTTTGTGTCTGGCTTCTTTCACTTTTTGTGATGTTTTCACGATCCATTCATGTTGTAGCATGAATCAGTATTTCATTTTTCCTTTTAACATCTTGTAAAAGTTTTTGTGTGAATACAAGCATACCTCACTTTATAGTGCTTCATTTTATTATATTTGTTGATACTGTTTTTTTTTTCCCCAAACAAATGAAAGTTTGTGGCAACCCTGCATGGAACAAGTCTGTTCAGCTCTCTATTTCCAACAATATTTGCTTAATTAATTCATGTGTCTGTGTCACATTTTGGTAATTCTTGAAGTATTTTAAACTTTCCAACCAGCAAAAAGATTATGGCTGGCTGAAGGCTCAGATGATGGTTAACATTTCTTTTAGCAATAAAGTATTTTTAAATTAAGGTACAAACATGTTTTAAACATAATGCTATTGTACATTTATAGTCTATGGATGGTATAGTGTAAACATAACTTTTATATCCACTGAGGAAACAAAAATTCATGGTACTCTTTATGGTGGCAGTCTGGAACTGAACCTTCAGCATCTTTGAACTGTATATTTTTAAAGTTCTCTTGAAAAAAAAAAAGTTCTCTTGGTTATGTATCAATGAATGCAGTGATTAGATAATGTGGTAATTCTACTTTTAGGTACTGCCAGACTGTTTCCCACAGTGGCTGTACCATTTTACGTTCCTATCAGTGATGTATGAGGAGTCCAGTTTTTCCATATCCTTATCAACACTTGTTATTGTCATTTTTTTTAGCGATTTTAGTGAGTATAAAGTGGTATCTCATTTGTGGGCTTGATCTCTACTTCCCTGATGGCCAGTGACATTGAACATCTTTTTACACCATCTGTGTATCTTCTTTGGAGAAATTTCAGTTCAGATCCATTATCATTTTTAATTGGGCCCTTATTTTTTTTAATTAAATATTAATAATTTTTTATATGGAGCTTCCCTGGTGACTCAGTGACAGAGAATCCACCTGCTAATGCAGGAGGTGTGGGTTCAGTTCTTGGGTCAGGAAGATCGCTTGGAGCAGGAAATGGCAACCCACCCCAGTATTGTTGCCTGGGAATTCCCATGGATAGAGGAGCTTGGAGGGCCGTGGTCTGTGAGGTTGCAAAAGAGTTGGACATGACTTAGTGACTAAACAAAAATTCTTTGTATATTCTAAATGCAAGCTCGTTAACAGATAATAGGGATTTACAAAAATATTCTCTTATGGATTGTCTTTTTACTTTTTTTTTTTCTTTTTACTTTTTTGATGGTGTCCTTTTGGAGCATAAAAGTTTACAATTTTGATCACATTTACTTTATCTACATTTAGTTTCATTTCTTGTGTTTTTTGGTGTTGCATCTAAGAAATCATTGCTTCATCCAAGGTCACAAAAATTTATGCCTTTGTTTTCTTCCAAAGAGTTTTATAGTTTTAGCTTTTATATTTAGGTCTTTGGTTCGTTTTGAGTTAATTTTTTATATGCCTTGTGAGTCAGAGGACCAGCTTCACTGTTGCATACAGATACCCGGCTGTCTCAGCACCATTCTGAAGTTTTTTGTAGCCGTGCGGCACGTGGGGTCTTAGCTCCCCAGTCGGGTCGCACCAGCGTCCTGAGGCGGGAGTGAAGAATCGTAACCACTGGGCCGCCGGGGTCCTTCAGCGCCGTTTACTGAGAAGACTCCCCTCATTGTGCTTTGCTTTTTCTTTTAACTGAGCAATGGGTTGTGGCAGTCTTTCCATGTAAGTAAAGAGAATTGCTTCTTCATTCTTTGTTTTCCTTTCTGCCTCATAGTATCCTTAGTATGGACATAACTTTTAGTTTGCTTAGCCACTCCACTACTGATGAACAGTTGGGTTGTTTAAAATCTTTTGCTCTTACAAACAGTTATGTACTAAATAACCTTGTAATTACACCATTTCATACATGTGCAGGCTTGTCTGAGGATAAATTCCTGAAACAGGATTGCTGAATCTAGTGGTAGATGACTAGTAATTATTGCCAAATATATTAAGATTTTGGTGTATGAGACAAAAGGTTAGTCTTTAAAATATTAATATTGGAATTTTGATTGGAATTGTCAATAAAATAATTAGAGAATGATGTGTGTAGAATAACAGTAGAATAGAATATAGGATTGTGGTAGCTTCCATTGTCAAACAGTGTAGAATATACTGAGAATAACAGTAGAATAATAGAATAACTATTATTAAGAAGCTCTTACAATGCAGCAACAGGCATTTAGTATAGTAAATGGTGGTAGTAGTACATATTTTGTTTCATTTAACTTTTCAGCAGTTCAATTTTGTTAATGTAAAAAAATGAAACCTAGAGGAATTTTCCTGACTTGCTTATGTAAGGTAAATGGGTTAAGAATTAAAGGGTGATTTCTGAGGTTTTAACATCTTAGCTTCAATATTGGTTCTGATCTCTTAAGCAGGTTACTTACCATCTATGAGCCTTAGGTTTGCCACATGAATATGGAAATAATAATAGTATCTACTTTATAGGATTATTGCCAAAGATAAATTAATACAAGATTTTAAGATCATTGCTTGACACATAATATTTAATAAATTTTAGCTTTTTAAAAAAAATTTACTATATGAACTGAACTTCTGGAGCAATATGTTACAGGCTTAGGTGTTAATATTATTTGAATTTGTTGGACCTTAATGAAGACTTAATCCATAATGATAATGTGTACATAACAAATATAGAGATAAGTTTCTTTTTTCTTGTCATCGTTGGTTTTGATGGATCCCTTAATTCTGTTCTTTTTACCTTTTAAAAGTTTGTTATTTGTACAGATTATTAGTAAAAACCATTTGGAAAGAACATTTCCATTTTTATAATAGTAGTTATAGATCATATTTATTCTCAGAAGCAGTCTTGTCAGTGGTTCTCAAGTACATTAGACCCAGTGCTCGTTTTTT